CCCTCAAGTATAGCTAAAACTTTCAGCTAAAAAAATTCATGAAAAGGCAAGAAAAATCCTTTGGGTGACCATCCATCTTCTTTATGGAAACTGACCCAACATAGAACTCCACAATAACTCTTTGGTTAACCAATAGCCTGAATAGACCACATTAAGCTCCCAGAAGAGAACCCAACAGCAAAAGGGGAGGATCATTGTTTCTTATAATGGTGTGCCTAGAGACCCAAAGAATCCAGGCCTTTAGTACAAACTTAGAGAGCATCCAGTCCAACTGAGTGTGTCTGATCGTCCTACTAAAACAAGTGCTGTATTGAGCAGTACCAAAGAGTCGATTGAGCTACAGGAAAATATAAAACATACTTCAGTATAAATGTGCAGTAGTGTTTTACCCAGAAAGAAATAAAGAATGAAAAATATGGCTTTCTTTTTCCCACAACTTATGTGATTTGCAATTAAAGGGAAATTTCTAACCAGTGAGACATTGTCTCCTTCCAAAATGTCAGTATGTCTAACGCTGTATGACATATTGCAACTCTTCCCAAATATCTGTGTATCCTAAGCACACTGTGTCAAGAAGCCTGATCCAAAGACTTGATTTATGTTGCTACCTGATAGATGATGTCTGGAAGGCATGCTGTCTAAATGGACTGCACTGGGGCAGTTACCTTAGTCATCAATTCTCAGAGAATTAATGGGTACCATTCATCCCAAGAATAGAAACCAAGGTCAGGGCCTCTTCCATGCTCTGTAATTCCATTAGCAATGCACAGAAAGCACTTAAGTCATAAGCTCTCTCGACCTTATAACTGAGCAAATGGAACTGCATCTTGTTTTCAGAGAGAATCCTCTCTGAGCACACCCCTTGTCAATGATTTGTTGTACAATAACATTCGATGTACTAACATGTGTAAGGAAAATGCTGGTAAAAGAAAAGTGAGGCTGTCTGCAGCTGCCAAGCATTCCAAGTACGGTCTTTATTCAAGTAAATGCCAATAGAAAACAATTTGATTAAAACTATATTGGGGCCCTGGCTGGTTTGGCTCAGTAGATAGAGCATCAGCCTGTGGACTGAAGGGTCCCACGTTCGATTCCAGTCAAGGGCACATGCCTGAGTTGTGGGCTCGATCCCCAGTAGGGGGGCGTACAGGAGGCAGCCAATCACTGATTCTCTCTCTCTCTCTCTCTCTCTCTCTCTCTCTCTCTCTCTCTCTCTCTCTCTCTCCCTTCCTCTCTGAAATCAATAAAAATATATCTTTTAAAATAACTATATTGGGTACTTCCAACTGTGGGCATACACTTTTAAATTGTGTACTCACTCAGATTCTATGTAAGCACTCAATCATTCTATGTGAGTACCAGGGAATTTTTCCGTTATCATTCTTTTATTTGGTTGTTTATTCTACCTACCCTAATAAAATCTAAATGACCTTGAAACTAAGAGCAAATAAGCAAATAAGTCTGTTTACAATGAACTCTCTGAAAATCTCAAGCAGCATGCTTTTGTAAGCTAAGGCTCACAAGTAATTTCCTCACTCCTCATAATTCAAATTGCTTTCACCCTGCCACAGTACCCCCCCCCCCAAAAAAAAAAGAGAGTAACTTCAAGGTTTGAATCCTGGCTTTGATACCTATTTGTTTTCTTAACAATAAAATAAGCATGATTATTAGTCTTTTATAGCTACTTCACACATTGCTGTAAGGATTTAAAATAAGTGCTTAGCACAATGCCTGGAAATTAACAAATGATAACCTATTTTTGTTTTTATTGTTGTTAAGCACATAAAATTGTGTGATTTTGAGATTGTGTGTGAGAGAGCTTTGTTTTGAAACATTGGGGGTTTTATGTGCAGTAGATTCTAAGTGATCTACAGTAATGGAGGGGAGCAGAGGCATGAATAATTCAAAACAGCAAATCACCCAAACACCATTTGTATGTGCCTTAAACTGTATTTTTATTTCAAATGTGAGTGTTTCTACTGCCCAAAGAAATGACTTCAAATAAAGGAATGACACAGTGGTGTAAAGTCCTAACTAAAAGGGCTCTGAGGAGCTGCCCAGTTTTCCTGGCCCTTCCTCTCCTCTCCCCACCTCTCCCCTTCTCTCCCCTCCACTCCCCTCTTCACCTCCTCACACCTGCCTGTCAGAAGACAGCTGCCACAAAGACCCTGCATCAAGCCAAGTTCCTCCCTCCCACTTCCTCTGGATCAAGGCCACTGGCGAAGGGTCTATGATTCTCTGCTCAGAGGCAAGATGCCGTCACCAAGTAAAAGCACCAGGTGCTCATGAAGCACATGCTCTAGTGGAGGGAGAAGACTGTCAAGTCAAGAAAGGCAGTGCGGTACTTCCGTTAACAGCAAAGGCGATGGAATCTGATGGCCCGGGAGTCCTAGTCCTGTTGGCCTATATGATCACGGGCACATTGCTAACCACTTTATGCCTCTGTTTTTGTTTCCACTGTAAACTTGCAAATGATAATGCTATCAGGTATGTCACATGATTTTTTAAGGATTAACATGCATTCTCTCTTGTGTGGGTGTGTGTGGGTGTGTGTGTGTGTGTGTGTGTGTAGGGCTCAATGTGTATAATGAAGAGATCTGTATTATGCTGACTTCTTTTTGAGTAACAAACGTTAACTAACAAGTTGGCATTTCCTACAGAAACCTGCAACATCTTTTTTTTTTTTTGTGAAACCAGAGGAAAATAAACAGGAGTCTTGGCCTCATCTAGTACAGTGATGGCGAACCTTTTGAGCTCGGTGTGTCAGCATTTTGAAAAACCCTAACTTAACTCTGGTGCCATGTCACATATAGAAATTTTTTGATATTTGCAACCATAGTAAAACAAAGACTTATATTTTTGATATTTATTTTATATATTTAAATGCCATTTAACAAAGAAAAATCAACCAAAAAAATGAGTTCGCTTGTCAGAGGTCTATATAATCCCCAAAACATATCTCTATTTCCCTTATGAAGCAGTTTTCCTGGTTGATACTTAGGGGCTATTGCTCTGTATTAAGCAAGTGTTGCTTTGGTTTTAGCAGTATCACAGGTTTATCCCGTGTAGAAGGAGCGCGAGCTGGTGCCTATACACAAGCACAAGACACTTCAGTAGTGATATCAGAAACATAAAACAGATAATAGCTATAAAAAGAATGAAAGAAAACTCAATACTGATAAGTCAAGTCTTACGTGCCAGGCACTGTTCTAGTCACTTTACATATGATCATTTATTTAATTCTCAGAATCAGCCTGTGAGGTCGATAATGTCATTGCAATTTTCGCGTTGAAAAACAGAAACTCGGGGAAGTCAGGAAACTTTGCAAAGGTCACTGGACACATAACAACATGCACATTACGGTCAGGGAAACCAGATCATTTATTGACTGTCCAAGGCCACGATTAAATATGAAAGGGAGCAAACACAGGAATGAAAGTTCATTCTAATTACGGTTGAAGATGAAACAAGTTGCAATACCTATGTCATTGAAAAAAAATAAGTAAATGAATGCACTCTTATTACATTTCTCTTAAGATTATATAGATTCTAAGATGATCATGAATATGCTTTAAGTAAGGTGTTCTGAACTAAAACCCCCGGTGCTTGTGGTAAATAAAAATGGGGTTGAGCTTCCAACATACTGAGCTTCACTTCAGAGACGCAGGTGCAGCCAGTGTTGCCGTGTGCTACCTGTATGTAACCTTTCACAATAGAAATACGGCCAGGGTGCTGGTTCATTAACTCACTGATTGTCCTTCCTTACCGTGGTTATTAGCTGATGTTCTGCCTTTCACTGTAACACATACACGAGATTGAGAATTCAAGGACTAGACACCCCAGGGCATAATGAATGAGGTGGTGTCTCTTTGCGTCTTTATGCAGATTAAATCAATACCTGACTTCCGTGGGGAGAGCAACACAACAGAGTCCTTGACAGTGATATCCTGGCTGGGGCTCCCTGTCTTGAAAGAAGAAAGGAAAGGGAACAGGTTTCTAGACTGTAAGCTCCTTGAGGGAGGTTATAGGCACGTTGTGTACCATTGATATCTGACCCCAGCTAGCTACCCTAACATTTACATGAATGAAAGTCACCCATTTTAATAGGTTAGTATCTTAAAAATTAGAGAGCATCTTAGAGTCAATGGCATGTTCATTGTTTAGTTGGCAGAGTTGGCTCTTTTTTCTTTCTTGCATAAAAAATAAAGGGGTGTCGTACCATCGATGGCATCGTAGATTTGATGAAATGCATTGTGTATCAGATGTTAGCAAGATCCCAGCCCCACTTAGTAAATTAGATCAGAAAGATGAGAGAGGTAAGATTTCAAAACTGCATCAACCTTTAAACTGAAGATTAGTAGATGAATGGGGAGTTGGTCATAACTTCTTCACCAGCCTGTCACAGCCCATATTTAAATATATATATTTATCATATGCTATCTGTAACCTTTCACAGTAGAAACACGGCCTTTCCTATTTTCTCCTCTCTGCAAAATAGAAAAGGATAAAAATTAAATTCCTGGCGCTTATTGTATCTTCCTGAAATTGTGTATCGTTGACTCTAGAGTGTGCACTCCACAGGCACAGTGTTTTATGCCTATGATTCTCAAAGCTCTGTATATATTGGAATCTCTGCAGGAAATATTTAAAAATTCATGTTCTTTACCTCCTGTCTGGACGTTCCGATTCACAAAGTCCATATTAAGGCCCAAAGAGCTATGTTTTTAATCCTGGGGTGGTATGATACACCCCGAAGTTTGAGAAGCCCTGGTCCTTGTGTTGGGAATTGACCTGTCACTGCAAAGCACTTGAATTTAAAAACTCTGATCTCAGCAGTAGGCACAGGACCACATTTGAGAGGCATGATTATGATTTCAAAAGGCAAATATACTGACGCAGGAAGGAAATCTGATACTACGTTGTTTCCTGTGGGGCTGGGACTCAAAACTAGAGCATGCATTGGTACTGCCCCTGATATCTGTTTCTGCTGGGAATTTCTTTAGCTGTGCCCCATAAAATCGGACGCATCATTGATGGGAGTCCTGCAGATCGCTGTGCAAAGCTCAAAGTGGGAGACCGGATCTTAGCGGTGAACGGCCAGTCGATCATCAACATGCCTCACGCAGACATCGTGAAGCTGATCAAGGACGCGGGTCTCAGTGTCACCCTTCGCATCATTCCTCAGGAGGGTGAGTGCCCGAGCCACCTGACTGCCGTCAGAGTGGTGTCAGAGGGTCAGAAGTTGAGAGTTACTCCCACCGTGGCAAAAATTCGCATTCTGTTGCAACTCATATCCCGTTTGCTCAGTATCAGTTTCATTCGGAGATCAAGCTATGGGACATTATGGATAAACAGTGTGAATCCCATGACAGTGGAATATTCAACCATTCCCTGTTGTCCTCGGAGTACTGTTTTATGGTTACATTAAGCCAGAGCCCGTTCAACAGAGATGATAGAGTTACAAATCTGCAGAAGATAAAAACAACATGCATTCATGTTAACAGTGACACTCTGGAGGATTCTTCAAAGTCAGATTGATTTTGAAAAGCTTGAGGAAGTTTTGTGGTATAGAGAGAGCTCATTTAGAAAATTTTCATCTGATAAGAATTCTAAATTCCCACTTAGCCTTTTAAAGGTCTCTGTACAAGGACTCCCTCCTGAGGCTTGAAGAGTAGTGAGCACCCCGACTCACAGCCATGCCTTCAGGGGCCACAGACTTCACCATAAATTCACTATTTCTGGAGATAGTGTGTTCATGACTGGTTTAGAGCTGCTGACTCATTACTGGTGTTCAAGAGTTCAGTCCCTGGAGGGAGCTCACTGGTGAGTGAGCATCCCACATGGAGAGTGCGGCATAGTGATGGACCCACTCACCTTGGTCCCCTCTGTTTTATTCATTCACCTGATTTCATCTTGGGACTGTGACAAGCAGGCATCAAACAGCTTCCTGGCTTTGAATATTAAACAGATGTTCTCAACTGAGGTGATTTTGTCCCCCTAGGGAGCTTTTAGCAATATCTGAAGACATTTTTGATGGTCATGATTGAGGTAGGGATGCTACTGGCGTCCAGTGGATAGAGGACAGGGATGCTGTTAGCCTAGGGCAGGCCTCACAGCAAAGAATTGTCTGGCCCAAAATGTCAATAGTGCCAAGGTTCGGAAACTGATACAAGGGGGGAAGAAATTTAAAATTCGGGGCTGTGAGAAAAGAAAGGGGGAGGCTGGTTTGTAAGGAAATGCTAATAGGTCACCTCCCTTTTATCACTCGATGGTGCAGACACCAACATGTATAAAATAGTCAATGGGAATTAACTCTAAGCAAGATTTCTCACTAAAATCTGACTTCTCCATTTTCCCAGTCTAGAATATGCCTGTCCTCCTCTTATTCTAACATAGAGGGATAATTTCAGTTGAAAATTTGATGCTATTACAAGAAGTTTCAAGAAGCAGTTTTAACAACTTAATTTCCCCTCTTTTGACCAGTGGTTGTTTGTTTTAGTTTTGGGGTGTTTTTACTCTTTCTGTGAAACCATGGAATATAGAGGGTTGTTAAGCAATAAGACTAACAAGGAACTGGAACGAAGACTGTAGAAAGCACTTACATTTATTATGGTTAGTTCCTTATCCAGATTTTGGTATACTGGTAAGACTTCTCATTACAACCAAAAAATAGTGGCTAAATGTTTTCTCTCTGAGTAGAAAAATAGTACATATTTTAGAGCTTACTCCTTTGAATTATTTTTCATAGTTTTAACAGGTTTTTAAAGAATGATATTTTCTTCTGACAAAATGACAGGAGACTGTTCATAACCTTGTTGAGCAACTCTTACAATTAAGAAAAGCATACTAATTCTGGGAGTGGCATTGGAACTGGATAAGGGTAAGCTGCCGTCTTAAAGCCCAACAGAAACTGAAATAACCGAAGCTTGAGTCATTTAAGGAAGCAAAGAGTATTCACCTCCGGTCACCTCTTGCCCTTTATTAATGTCAACCTGACCGCATCTGCAGCTTTGGTCCCATTTCAGAGCTCAACAGCCCCGCCTCGGCGCCCAGCTCCGAGAAGCAGAGCCCCATGGCCCAGCAGCACAGCCCCCTGGCCCAGCAGAGTCCTCTGGCCCAGCCGAGCCCAGCCACCCCCAACAGCCCTGTCACCCAGCCAGCTCCTCCTCAGCCACTGCAACTACAGGGACATGAAAATAGGTAACGTTTCCTCTGGCTTTTCTGATTCTGACGGGGGGGGGGGGGGGGGGGGGCGGGGAGGGGGAGGAAGAAATGGGGACAAGACAGGACACAGGCAGGAGAGAGATTTTATTGGAATAGAACTTGCCATGTGGACTTCCTTGTGATTTTGATTGTATGTACGTCATAAATGGGTCTTATTAGTAAATACGAGTGCCCTGTCCTTCCCAGCAAGAGAACTTTTCCTGAAGAAATGATGAGCAGGTGCAGATGAGTGGGGATTAACTCGCTGAAGAGCACACTGGAGAACCCAGGCAGCATGAAGGGCATGTACAGAGGCCCTTTGGCAGGAGGGAGTCGTCAGGCTTGGGGGGCAATGAGGCCAATGTAGGGAGGCAGAGGGGAGGAGGGTGGTTTGAGATGAAGGCAGTGAGGGTCGGAGAGGCTGGCCCTACAGGGTCTTGTAGGCATGCTAAAGATTTTTATCTTAAGTATATTGAGATATTCTTCGAGGGTTTAAGCTGAGGACTAAAATAATTTAGTTTGCTTTTCAAGATCTCTCAGTAGACCCCAGAGAGAACAGACTGAAGGCTGGTCAGAGTGAATGCAGGTTAAGCAGTCAGAGATGGCTGCCAGTGTCCATAAAGGTGGTGACCCAGAGCATAAAGATGGTGGAGAAGGGGACATGTTGAAGGATTTGTAAACATAATAAATATTAGCATTTTTACCACATTTGACCTTATATCCTCCTACTCAGGATCTAATTAATTTCATCCATTTCACATTATTAATGAAGACAAATAAGGCACTTCGAACTTCCAGAAAAAAAGGATGCCATATAAAACCCACGTTATCTTTTTTAAATTGAATTTATTGGGATGACATTGGTTAATAAAATTATAGATTTCAGGTGTACAATTCTATAATAGATCATCTGTATATTGTATTGTGTGTTCAACACCCCAAAGCAAGTCTCCTTCTATCACCATTTATCTCCCCTTTACCTCCCCCTCCTTCATTTCCCTCTGGTAATCACCATGCTGTTTGCATTAATGAGTTTTGAGTTTTTTTCTCAATCCCTTTACCTTTTTCACCCAGCCCCACGTTATCTTCTTACTATGACTTGGGTGTACCCTGGGTTAGGTTGCGCCGTTGAAGAGAGATGAAGACATGTTCCCAATGTTTTCCCCTTTCAAATAAGAAAAATAAAAGAGCTCACGGGAACATCTCTGAAAATAAAACCCTCACGGGTCTTTTCCGTCATTCTAATGTTTTCTGAGCATCTGCTTCCCATCTTCTGCCTCCCATGTTGGTGGAGATGAACTGGGCCCCAGTTTTTGAGTCCCAGAACTCTAGGTTCATCACTCGTACTGTTGTAAAGCAAATATTTTCCCTCTGCCACAGGTGTTATTTCCATAAAGCCCTGTTCTATCCTGATTTCCTCCATTGGCTTTCATAGAAAAGTAAATGTCCTCAACTGTTTATGGTGTTAATATATTCCACAGAAGTAAAAAGACTAAGCTCCATAAGGCAATTCACACCGAGGTAAGAATCTGACAATCCAGAAGAGGAGTAAGTCCTGGGCGCCTCAGTAATAAGCCCCAGATGTGTTCACTTTCACCAGATGTTGTTTGGATGGATTGCACTGGCTCTCCCCAGACCCATTTTAGACTCGGGAGGAGGGATCTGAGTGCTCCAGCAGTTGCTGAGCCAGACTCAGACTCTAGGTTCTGACGCTGTGGACTTACCTCCCAGCCACAATTCCATCTTAACTTCTGCAGAGTCAGACTGGACTGGAGATGGGCTCTTGCTTCCAGCCTTGGGGTGATCAAATCCTCCAGGCATGTGATAGCTCAGTGGGAGGCCACTATTCGGTCCCCATCTGCGACCAGCTCACCATGGTTTTTGGATATATTTTTGCCCGACTACAGAATATATTTTCTAATTCTAGGATTAATAGATTGATCTTACCAAAATTTTTATAAATCACTGAAAAATTTGCCCAGAGTTCTTAGCAGTTTCTGCTTCAATAATATTAAAACCCTGGAAAGTGCCCACTCCTGCCACTCAGGATTCCTGGCTTAGCTCTGATTGTTAGTGAGCAGCTAATTTGCATATGAATGAGGAGATTCAACAGTCTTACAGATACCAGAACCATTTTTCTAGCTGCATTTAAAGATGATTGTGGTATCAGGGGAAAAACTGCCTTTTTCTAGGCTGGAGACGTCTACAAGACAGCTTGTATGCCAAGTGCACAGTATGAATTTCCTGTCAGTTCATTTGTACAAGAAGTGCCCACCCACATGTCAAATTGAGCCAGTTCCCATGTTCAAGTGAGGTCAGTCAAATAAAATGACAATCTACTTGCAAAGTTTTATTTTATGAGTTAGAGTGACTTGATTATTTTGTCCTAGCTGATTTTCTCTTGGCTCCCAACTGACATCCTACACACCTCTACCCATTTCTCTCTCTTCACATCCTTTTTGGTTTTGCTCAGGAAACACAAAATAATCTCTATATATATAAAAGGCTAATATGCTAAGTGTCCCTCTGCCCGTCTGACTGGTCACTATGACGTGCACTGACCACCAGGGGGCAGACGCTCAATGCAGGAGCTGCCAAGCTGCTGTGACTTGGCAGCCGCAGTTCTCAGGTGATGCACCCTGAAACCAGAGAGGAGGGAACCCGATTTCTCGCGGGGCCATGCAACTCCACCTTCAGCCATGGGTTATGTTGTTACTGGGCCACTGTTGGCCCCAAATCTCGTTTACTGCACACTTGCATTTGCATTCCACACCCTGTATAACAGCAACTTTGCAGAGTGCCCTCTCACACTCCGGGACCCCTAGGGGGATGTCAGAGAGCTGGTTTCGGCCCGATCCCTGCAGGCCAGGCTGAGGGACCCCACCTGCCGGAGGGACCCCCACTTACTCCACCACGTTGCCACCCCAGGTGCAGCCAACCAGGCAGGGACTGTGGAAGGTTGGCTCCAGGGCGTGTCCAGCTGATCTTGCCCAGTCCCACCCCACCAGCCACTTTCTAATTAATTTCCTTTCAATGTGTTGTTATGTTCACTAGTTGTTATATAAACATAAGCAAACCACTGTTCAAGGAGAAGCATTTGTTAAAAACAACAAAAGAGCCTTTATGAAATATATCCCAAAACTAGTATAAACAGCAGAGTTGAGTTTCCCCAGCTAGGGCAATTGATGTTTGATGGCATTTTAAATAGCAAGGTCAGTGGAAGAGCACTGGAAATTGACTTCTTTCATAGACTTTGAACCTTTGCTGGAAGAAATTCTTGAAAGGCCCACATGGGGGTCATATCCCACCATAAGATCCCCTACCATGTGGACAGTGATTTTTGGTTCTGAACCTTGTTCATACCATAAAATTCTGCTAGAATTTACTGCTAGCAATCTGGTTTTATCATCTCTGGTCTCTTTAGTAATGGAATTAATAGCTACATAGAGTTAAACTAATGACATTCTTTCATAAGTAATTTTGAAGATGCTATTTTTAAACAATAATCCTGAATTTTTCTTAAAATAATAAGTGTTTTATAAATTCAAAGCAACATAAATTTTGCCCTAGCCAGTATATCATTCACTTAAAAGTTAGCAACACTAATAAAAAATTTAGTATAGTATTTTTTAATTAAAGAATTCTTCAATGTGCAGCTTAACTAACATCCTGACATAGGGCACTGGTGTACCATAGAAGGAAGTTTGAGTGCTAGAGAGTAGGCTTGGGTCACAGCTATTACAAATTTTAACTGTTTTTATTTCTAAGTGTTTCTGTCATATTTGGAGAGACTTACATTTCACCCCTTTTGCTACTAGTATATTTTGTGACACATCTGGAAATAGAACTCATAATGGATATTTCATAAGGATGCTTTATAGACAATGAAAATAAGTGACTGTGCTATTACTGAAAACAGTGTGACATCTAAACCACCAAGCAAACTACTTCTAGAAAGGCACTGATACACACCAACAGCTGTCACTCAGATCTTTTTTGTGTGTAATTCATACATTTGCGTAGATAAGTATCTTATTCCAATAGTATTTTAAATAATTATTTTCTCATCATGCACACTCAGGTGAGTGGACAACTTGCTGAGGTACAAAGCAAAGCCTAAATTGTGCAACTCAATAAAGAAATGTCATTTCTGCAGGGTAAGTGCCAAGTGGGACCTACTCAAAGCGTTGATTAAAATAACTACATTACTTCTGAAAAATCTCAAATGTTCTTTGCAGTGTTATTTACAAAAGCCAATATTTAGAAGTAGTCTAAGTGCCCATCAGTAGATGAGTAGATAAAAAAGCTGTGGTACACAATGGATACTACTCAGCCATAGAAGAAGGAGAAGGGGGAGGGGAAGGGGAAGAAGAAGGGGAAGGGGAAGAGAAGAAGGAGAAGAAGGGAGAAGGAGATCTTACCCTTTGCTACAGCATGGATGGACCTGGAGAGCATTATGCTAAGTGAAACAAGCTAGTCAGAGAAAGCCAAGTACCATATGATTTCACTCATATGTGGAATCTAATGAACAAAATAAACTAACAAACAAAATAGAATCAGACTCATAGAGAACAGACTGACAGCTGCCAGTGCTGACAGCTACTTAGGAATATCTACCGATATCCCTAAGTAGCTTATTATAGACTGGGGATTGGGGGCTGGGTGGAAAAGATGAAGAGATTAAGCAAAAAAAAAAAAAACTTCATAGACACAGACAACAGTGATTATCACAGGGAAAGGAAGGGAATAGGTAGAAGAGGGTGAAGGGGGGATAAATGGGAAAGAGACTTGACTTGGGGTGATGAACACACAACACAATATACAGATGATGCTTTATAGAATTGTACAGCTGAAACCTATACAACTTTATTAACCAATGTCACCCCAATGAATTCAATATAAAGGAAAATAAATGAAAATAAAATAACTATATTACTAACCCCCTTCCAAAAGTCCCAAATAAGTACATCTATTTTTGTATACTTTCAGTATGTTCTCGCCAAATATTAGATTACATGGTTCCTGTGAGTTATTTTTTAAAATATTTCATATAATCAGCATCAATGAAACCATAAGCCGGTAAAACAAACAAAAAAAAACATATGCCATAGTCTTAAAGGTAGAAGTTCGACTGGTTTTGAACTTGTTTTCCTGACACACATGAGTTTTTCCTTGGTGCTAAATATTTGCCCAATTCCTCAAACCCTCTATCTTAATTTTATATAAAATTGTTATTATACAGAATGTATTTTTTTACTTTTTTACTTTATTTTTGTTGTTGACACTATTATAAATGTCCGCATTTACAACTCCCCTTTGTCCACCTCCACCCAGCCCCTGCCCGCCCCCCCTCCTTCCCTCTGGCAATCACCACACTATTGTATGTGTCTGTGTCATGCATATATGTTCTTTGGCTAATCCCTTCACCTTCTTTCATCTAGTCTTCCCTTCCCCCTTCCCATCTGACAGCTGTCAGTCTGTTCCATGCATCCATGCCTCTGTTTCTATTTTGCTTGTCAGTTTATTTTGTTCATTAGATTCCACATATAATTGAGATCATATGGTATTTGTCTTTCTCTGACTGGTTTATGTATTTTTTCAATCCCTAAGTAGCTTATTATAGACTTTCTGTGGCAATAGGTAATGAACTACAGTATTAAGTATTCCTCTGTACTATGGTGAAAATTTTTCAGTTTACCTTATTCATGACCCCATAATGGTTGGTATAAGCTATTTTAGTCCCCTTTTGGACCTGGAAATCCTCTCAGTTTAGAGCAGTTTGGATTCACAGAACAGTGCTAAACAACTAGTTCTGGTTTCTATATTTTATTAGTAACTAATCTCTAGAAACAAGAAAGAAACAAAGATTAAGCATAAACATTTTTGCCTTTCCTTCCATTTTATGACCATGATGATATCTGATACTTATCCGATAGCTGTAGTCTAGTATTCAGACTCTACACAATATGTTTCTATTCTTACCAATGACCCCGTGACTTTCTACTTGATTTGTAGTTGGTGAGGATACCTTACTATCGCTCCTCTGTAATATATTGAAAAAGAACACACCTAACTGGGTAAAATAGTCATTAATTATGTCCTTGTGGAGTATTTAGAGATCATGTAAATTGTGTTTTCATGAAGTAATGGTCTGCCAAGGTGTGTATGTGTGAGAGAGAGACAGAGAAACAGAGTTGATTTCCTGGTGTTAAGACAGACTGCTATTTCAGGAGGCATAGTTAAGTATTCAGTCCCCTCGATTTGTGCAGTTGTAGTTTTTGCATGGCCAAATCAAAAAGGGATAGCCATAAGTCCTTTTCCACAAAGCTGTGGTTGAACCATCATTTTCACCTTGATATCTTAAGAATCCAAATGGAAAGTATACAAGATGGTATTTGTTAAAGATAGAAAAAATAATACTTACTGTTTAATCTTCTCATAATTCTGAACATGCAAAAGGATCACCAAGAGGAGCCAGTTGATCATTCTACCTCCTTAGAATACTGAGATACCAAAGTAAATCCCATGTCCATTTATTTAGTTACAGGTCAGAAGTAAAAGCAAGACAAGATGTGAAACCGGACATCCGACAGCCTCCATTCACAGACTACAGGCAGCCCCCCCTGGACTACAGGCAGCCCCCAGGGGGTGACTACCAGCAGCCCCCACCCTTGGACTACAGGCAACCTCCGCTGCTGGACTACAGACAGCACTCCCCCGACACCAGGCAGTACCCTCTGTCAGACTACAGGCAGCCCCAGGTACCTCGGCCAATGAGATCATCGCAGGCCCAGGACCAAGACTTCCTGAAGTGCAAACAATGAAATAGAAGGGAGGCAGAGGAAAGAACACCCTTCTGAGATAGACAGCCCAAGTTCTATTCCTAGTTATGATATCATCTGGGTAACACCCACATCCTCAAAGCGCTCTGAATAAATAAATCTTTTTCAGAATAAAGCAGGACAATCAATCAATCCGTGGGTGAGTGGTAACGGGATGAACTAATTCCTGCTAATATTAGCTAGCTAATTCCCAGTATATTGTCTTGTCAAAGTTGGAAAGAAAAAAAAAAAGCTCTTATCTGGAATCTCCAATACAGATAATGCAGAAAATTTTACAGATGTCAGCAATGGAGGTATTTTACATCCATAATTATTTATATAGCCTCCTACCTCCCATTTGGTGGTAAAGGGCCAAGCCCCAATGCATAAGGATAAGGCCAAGCCCGGCTTCATCAACCAGCCTGCAACCTCTGTCACAAGCACCCAGTCCCTGTCTACACAACACTGGTTCTTATAATTATTTGTTCATGTTAGATGTGCCTTATGGCGACTTCCGTAGCCCCTCTGAGCTTCAGTTCCCTAAAAGGAGGGTCTTCCTTGCAGGCTATGGTGAGGATTCTACTTTAATGAAAAGCACTTAGACCAGAGCTTGGTAGCTAATAAATATTCAACTAGATAGCAAGATACAGATTAAATACAATTTCAATTAGTTGTGTTTTATTTAGGATTAAAGATCCCCTTTATCTCCCCCAAATTTTAAGAACATTGAAGGTCAGGAAATCTTGGACATACTGCATTTTATGTAAAAAACAAATTGATTGTCTGCACTCCAACTTGATATTCAGTCGTTTGTGCACAGAGTTGTAGTAAGACCCCCATTAAAATTTATTTTTCTAATTAGCAAACCTCTAACTTACACATATACACGTATGCACATACACAGGACTGGTGCATTTATTTATACAGCTCCACAGCACTGAATGAGCACACTCAAAGAAAGAGTATTGCCCAGGCCTATCTGCAGTAATTACATGTGAACCAAGTAAGCTAATGAACATCAATGTAAACAAGCTACCCAATGACCAAGGAAATTGTGCTCTGATCTGCTCAAACCTTTGGAACTTGGTCTTGCATTTTGCTGGACTGTGAAGTCAGATTGCGTCTCACAACACCAACTCATTTGGAACACATTAGAGGAGAGAGAGAAAACAGAGAGACTGAATACAGAAGCTTCTTTGATATTAAACGATTGTTTATTCCATTTTCCTCCTGGCCCCAAAGGACTTTGATTATTTCACCGTGGACATGGAGAAAGGAGCCAAAGGATTTGGGTTCAGCATTCGCGGAGGAAGGGAGTACAAAATGGATTTGTACGTGTTGAGGTTGGCAGAAGATGGGCCGGCAGTAAGGAACGGAAGGATGAGGGTAAGGACAGTCCTGTTTATAAAACTGCCTAATTCTGAAAGAAACCTGGGGTGGTATTAGCAGAGCGCTGAAGCATGCTATTAAGCAAACAGATGATGTAGGTTTTACTTTCTTTCATTTCTTGACCCAGTTTTCTAAAGTTTGACCAAAAGTTATGTAAGAATTTGATCACTCATTTTCCTGCTTATAGTCTTCTAATGGACAGATAGTGTTTTACATATATAGTTTTCCTAAAGAGTAAACTAAAGAAAACGGGCAAAGTAATCTAAGAAGTGAAAACAGGGCTCCCTATTTTTCCATGGTTCGATGATTCAATTTCCATTTGAGAGCAAATCTTTTGAAATGTATTTTTAGCTTTATGCTTTTTTCTCCACATTTATTAATCAAATGGTTCTGTATTTCTTTGGAAATATTTCTGGTGTGTTGACTGGTCTTTCAGCTTTGATGTCGGGCAGACAGAAGCATTTGGAGAAAGGTGGACTAAGCTTCTTGGACACATGTTGTCCATAAATATGATAGCAGTGAGAATTTTCCAATTAGAGTGTAAGGCTAGAGCGTGTTTTTTAATGTAGAAGTTACTTTGAGGCTTCTGATTGATGGGTAACTGATTTTCATCTAAAGGTACAAAACAAAGCTTGATAACAATACAGAATGTTAGACTCTCTCCCTTTCTCTCTGTAAAATGGTGATTAGTAAGCACATAATAAAGACTAGTTATTATTATAAATAATATCTCAAATTCATTCTTGCCCACCCTCCTTACTCTTATAGTTACTACAGAAAAGCTGTGGTTCTTGGTTGGGTTCTTCCGCTGAGCCTCACAAACCAATTGCTCCTGGACAACTGAATAAATCTGTTATTCCTACCACCAACTCTACCATTTCTGGGATTCTCATTCCCACAGTGCAAAAGTAGTAAATTGTGTCTATTTTTCTCTCTCCCTTCATAATGCTTTGACGGCTGGGAAGTATCCAAGTTGGAATCTGAACCCAAGCAAAGCTGACTTGAGAGACACCTCCACCCCCGCCCCATCCAACACCAGCGTCCTCGACACGTGGTTTTAGAATAGGCCTCCGCATGGTTTCTTGGCTCTCAGCTTCCCTGTAAACGGAAGGGTACTTTCTAAACATGCTGAAAAGCCAACTCCTAAGTGGGTAAATAAAACAAAATTAACCTTTGCAGTGCAGATGAAAAGAGCAGCAGGAAGGCCATGAGTGAACCAGACCCTGCAAGAGAGAATAGCCCCACCCCGACTCCCGGTGGACTTCAGACATGGCCTGTGTGGATTTCAAGTAGCCAAATTTTTTTTAACAAGTGGTCTAAATGACTGGCTGTTCAATATATGCAATACTTCCAAGGCTTAGAAGCCTAAATATAGAAGTACTCTATGTAAAAAAAAAAAAAAAAAATACTTTTATAAAATACAAACCAGAGTAATGGTTCTCATTGTGGTCCCTGGTATCAGCATCACCTGGGAATGTGCTACAAATGCAAATTCTCAAGCCACACCATAGACCTGCGAAATCAGAAACCCTACAAGTGGGGTCATCCGGCTGTGTTTGTGTGATTCACCGCCAGGTGACTGGTACAAGTTAAGTCTGAGAACTGCTGAGTTAGAGGGAAGCTGTCATACACAGTGTGATGCAGGTGGGATGTGTGTGGCTTGGGCTTTGTTAATCCCCCCAGAGCTTGTCCAAGGAGATTCTTACCTTGTTTCAATGGTGTGCTAGAGGTCCTCAAAGCCATGTAAACACTGATTTAGAATTCATGGGCAGGTATTCAGTTGTATGAAAGATGCTTTATCTGGCCGATAGTAAAAATGAGCCCTCTACCTGGATTTCCAAAAAAATGGTATTTTAACTTCTTGTCAAAGATTAGAAAACTAAGCAACATTTCATCATTTTCCATGTCATTTTTATAAAGCCACCTATTCTTTCTGTGTATAAGCATATAAAAGGACTTATTATGCCCAGTTTTAGATAATATAGGTTAGTTTATTTTGGATTACAATATACATATATTTCTAGCATTAAGTTATCAAAAAAAAGAGCTACTTGGGAGTCACAGAGATTCCATGGATGAGCTTTTACTGCTTGATTTTATCTCCAATCTTTAAAATAAGGCTGAGGCTCGGGCTGGTGTGGCTCAGTTGGTTAGGCATCGTCCCATGGCATCAAAACGTTGCTGGTTCAATTCCTGGTCAGGGCACTTGCCTGGGTTGAGGCCTCAATCCTCAGTGTGTGTGCAGAGGAGAAGTATGGGAGGCAGCAGATCAATGTTCTGTTCTCACATCGATGTTTCTCTCCCTCTCCCTCTCTCTCTCTAAAAACCAATAAAAAATAAAATAAGGCTGAGAGCTTAGCAGAAATGGATGAATGCCGGGGTCCAACCCCAGCAGGTCCAGGGGTCCCCAAAGGTGTGGATAGAGTCGGCGAAGACTATCCACTCTCTTCCTATGGTGGAGTCCTATCCGTCCCGAGTGTGGGGCTTACCTAGGGGTCCCTGTTTGGGCGCCAGATGCCGGAGTCCAACCCCATCAGGTCCAGGGGTTCCCAAAGGCGTAGACGGAGTCGGCAAAGAAGGAAGGACACGGAGACAGCGTTCAGTTGATCAGCAGCCTAGAAGGGATCTCCAGCCAAGTTCTGGTCTGGATCTCCAGAGAGGTTCTGCTTAGGATCTCCTGCCAGGGTCTGTGTCCATGTTCCCTTGCTAGATTCTCCAGCCAGGTTCTGTCCAGGTTCTCCAGCCAGGTTCAGTCACCAGGTTCTAGTCAGGTTCTCTTGCCAATTTCTGTAGTCAGGTTCAGTGCAGGATCTTTTGCCATGTTCTCTCCAGCGAAGTTCTTCTGTCTGTGTAGGTTCCTTCTTCTGAGTTCTGTCTTCTTCATTCTGTGTTCTGAGTTCTGGCTCTTGCTGTCTTGTTGCATCTGTATTTATACCAGTTGATTCAATCCTATCAATCTCTATTACAAAGGTTAGGGCGTTTCTTATCTCCATTCCAGGGAGTAAAGATTATGTAGCTTAAGCACGATTGTTCGTAGTTAAAGTGATTAATTACCCGCCTGGCACTTAGTTAAGAGGTTTTATTCCCTCCCTAACTTCAGGGGAAAATCCCTACCTGGGGAAACAACCTTTCTCAGAGAGGAGACCTTGGTTAAAACACATAGTGCCAAGAAGGTGAGCAAACATATTAAGAACAGTATGCCATATGTGCCAGGTCCCTTGAAACAGCAAGCATGGACCGGCTCCCGGCAGATGAAAGAGTTCTTTTTCTGCTTTTTATGGATTACATTTGGTATTCAAATGTTTGAAGTTTTTCTCACTCATGAATTCTTATGGCACCCGTGGAGAATTTGTCTAGGGTGACAAAATCCATGTCAGGGAAAAGGGTTACTTCATTATATAAGTTGAAAGGTAGTCATATTATCCATTGTCTGAATTATATAAATATTTTGTTATCTGTATAAAGATCAATAAGTGTTCTTGATAATAGCACATAATTAATTCAGATCTTATTTTCATGTTTATTATCAGATTTAATGATTTAAAGCTAATCTTTTCCACCTTCATTAGTACTTATCTATAATTGGCAATAACTTTAAATTCACAGATGTATTTAAATTACTTCAACAAGGACCTGGACAACCAGTATTGGCGTGAATCAATGGTTTGATTATTTTAAACTAATACATAAACTGGATAACATATGTTACCAATTTGGAAATTTCACGCTGAAATTAATTAGGGGCCCATTTTTCATCTTTTCTTTTTCCATCTTATTTTAAAGTTCCCACTTAATACCATTAGGGCCCAGATAAATATAGATTTTAAATTTCTGCACATATGATGCTTATACAGCAATGGCTACTATGACTTGGTTCATAAAGTTCCAAAACTCCTGAGAAAAGTAGGTGAACTAGATGTTCGCAGGCAACCTTTAAAAATAACTTCAAGAAGAGACGCTAGCACCAGGTTCTTCCCAGCCTCTAAAATATGCAGGCACCGTTCTTCTATGCCTACACTAAACACAAACACATGCTTCATGATCCAATGTATTTGGAAAACACTTTATTTTTCCCTTTTTCATAATCAGAAACAGGTAATGATCTGGTAATAGCAGTATATCTTAGATTAAACCCAGCACAGTAGAATTGCTCAAATCAAAATGACTATGCAAATACTGGATGATTCTGGAAAATCATTTTCGGTAACAATGAATCACTGTGCCCTTGGTTTTGGGGTGTAAGTCATACTACTTTTGAAAACTTAGTTAATGTATCAGATGTAAGTCTCTGAAACTAAGACTTCCTGGGTCTTTTACATCCGTCTTGGTTGTAGGACAGTGGTGGTATGTGCCTGTTCAGTAGTATAAGACTTTGCTAAGAATACAAAGAAAACCAGTACAGTTGCAAGCAGTGGGGAGGAGGGGAGAGCACAGAGGAGGTGACTAGAGTGAGTGTAAAAGCAGCCTTCTCACACTGGGGATTCTAAGAAACATTGGCACAGATGTATATTTTTAAAGCATGCCCTTAGACATCCAAGTGATATCCCAGGCATCCAAGAGAATATTCATGAATCTTGTGATAGACAGCTAGATATATCCCAAGAGTGAGTTCCAGGTAAATGACTTGACTAGTCTTTCTGGGCAGCTGAGGCAATGAAAACTATCTTAGCAAAGATCTGTGGCAAATTAGACTGTTTAGCTTTCAAATCAATTAATAAATACTCACACAGAACATAGTTGATTTTTTCCTCCTTGAAAAGCACTGTATGTTTAGTCATTTTTTTTTTTTGTCAAATAAATTCTTTCTTTCTACCTGATGAAACAAGAGTCAGATTAGGCAAGCATCCTGATAAGGTACAATGGATTTCTTCAAAATATGAGAACCTGCCAATAGCAAACCAGGATCAAATAGTAGTGGGGAATTTACAAACCAAAGTTCAGATACATAAGAGAGGATAAGAAACTTTTTCAGAAGCTCAATTAGATGCTTATTTAAA